TTTTACAGGCCTGTTTATTCTAAAGGTAGCGGTCCAGTACCAACAACAGTCAGTCCTGCAGTACTTCTGAGCACATCAACATTTCAGTGAGTAAAAACACTCCACCTGTGGCCAGAGACTGGTAGCTGTGTATAACGTGTGTGTATGTGTGTGTCTACAGAGAGCCATTCACCATTCAAGTTTTATTATTTGCACACAGCCCTCTAATGTCAGATTAGAGCAGATGTGTGTGTGTGTGTGTGTGTGTGTGTAGGTGTGTGGTGTGTGTGTGTGTTGTGTGTGTGTGTAAAGATGAATAATGCGTGAAGCAGCCGACGAGAGCAGCGATGGATGATGTCATCAGGCTCAAAGGGGAACTTCTGGGACAGCTCATTTTGGCTCTGCCAGGCGGGGCCGCTGATGAATTGACTCCCCCATCACGCTCCCCCCCATCTCTCTCTCTCTCTCTCTCTCTCTCTCTCTGTCTTTCTCTCTCTCTCTGTCTCTCTCTCTGTATTGCTCCCTGGCCCTTTTGTGTACACTATCAGTAGAGATGGGGACACTTGATTGTTCAATTCATGACATTTGACGTTCAGTAGTGCCTTCACACACACAGTGAAATATGAAGTGTGTGTGTGTCAGCATGTGAGCTCATTAGGTGAGGAAAGATTGTACTAATGAAACCCAGTGGACTGGGTTATCCTCATGGCTCGCAGAGAGCCTTTTCTCTACCTTCCTGCTTCACTGTCGCCGTTGACTACGCCCCACACCCTTGTTGCTAGGCAATGGGCGATGGAAAGCAGCCGCTGTGTTACTATGAGGCTCTGCTTAGTTTCATTATGATGGCATTGGTTGGCAGGCTTTCCATGATAAAGCTAGTCTAGCAGAAGACTTGAGAATGCGGTGTAAATAGTTGATTATCAGTGCACTTTACATCCCGTTTAAAATGACTTCTAGCTCCTTCGATAGAGACCTGATACTTGGTATCGGGAATGATCATGTATTTACAGCTCCTGTTATAATTGCAACTAATATTTAGAATCAATTTTGCTGCTGCTTTTCTTTGATTTGCTGCTCAGAAACCATGTTTTTGCTCCTTGATTGTAATGTGAAATATTGAACACAACAGCAGCATCCCCATTATAATCTGTGTCAACACAATCACTGACACACATATTGCAGTTAGAGCTGTAACATGATGCCTGGTCACACTGGGCTCTATACGTCCCCTGGGTTCCATCAGACAATTGGGAGAAGCTGGAGCCGGTAAAGAGCTAAATGATGCTCTGTTGTTACGTGTTGATGCTATCTGGCTAGCAGTACACTGACACAAATTACAGCTCAATCTTAGCGCAGTCATTTGGCTGTTTTGGCAGTGGCGATAAATTAAAGACCCTTCCCCCAGGGCCTCTGAACAACACAGCCACATATGCATACAAAACACATACACACACACCTCAATGGTTTGGATTCCCCCATGCTAGCATGTCAGTGGTGAGGGATTGTGTTTAAATCATTTTGAGGAAGAGTACATTACCCACACACAGCAGATAACAGCCTACATGTGACATATGTTTGTAATCACTTTTAAATGAAGACTGTGACAGAGACTGAATGAATGGGTTAATAATGGTGCATGCTAGGTATTGCAGAGGCTAGGGCGTGGGCCAGGTTATTGCTGCCTCTTTGTCTCCTCTGCACCCGAGGGACACCCCCCCAAAAGGACACCCATGTCTTGGAAAGCAAGCCCCTCTGGGAGGTTGGAGGGGTGTTTGTGTTGCGTGTGGCGTCTCTCTGTCTGCTGTGCGAGTTTATCTGAGGTGTAAAGGCGAGTAAACACCTTAAGGGGTAAACATCTTCTATACACATTATGTCTATAACACTAATGCAACAGCAGGAGAAATAATAAAAGACATAAAATGATGAGGAGATGGCTGGATTGCAGAACTTTTTTTCATATTTGCCTTAAAGTTCACCTGCAGTTTATTACCACATGGGTTTTATTTGTTTTAGTTTTGGCCCATGGTTTTATCCGTTATAATAACATTGTACTCACTGAAAGAACTGCAGAGATATGGGATCTGCAAAGTCCGGTGGGGCAAGAATCAGACCTCTTGATCTCTGTGGTTGTACACTGACTTTTGGCTGATGACCTTTGACCTCTTCCCAGTGGATGCTGTTAGCCGTTTTGCTCTGGTGTTCACAGACAGCTCACGTTGTCTTGTGTTCATTCAGTGGGGTTGTAAAATGTTTGTGGTGTTTGCCCATTGTTTCATTTGCAGTAATTTGCACATTTCGATGATCATAGAATTTTTTTTAGCAATAACAACCACTATTTTTCTGCTGAGAAATGCAGTTATTAAACAGTATACCACAGTGGTTCTCAACCTGGGGTCGGGACCCCTACGAGGGGTTGCCAAAGTTTCACATCGGGATCATGAGGCCTTCTTTATTTTAAGGGATGCGAGAAAACTATACACAAACTATGCAACATATACACAGTAGGCCTATATCTGAGCATTTCATTCATTTCTGTGCAAAAAGCAAATTTTTAGTCATTTTTAAAGCTTAGATTATTATTTAAGGTCAAAGTTTGAAGAGCTGAACATAAGCTATATTCACAGAGCCCTCACTCTCATAAACATCCTTATCCTGCATTAGACCAAAAAAACCAAAGAGCTTACAGAACAATGAGAAGAAAACTTATTAAGTATGTTTGATTGTTACAAAAAAATTACACAATACAGACAGAGACTTGAATAACAAGTTCCTAAAAATATCAGGAAATCTCATCTCTGATCAGTATTCACAGGAATAATCCTCCAAAATGCATCCAAATTGCTTGTTTAATTTTTTTTTGCAAATTGCTCAGTTGTTCTGTTCTTTTATTGTTATGCATTGAATATAATATGAAATATCCATGAAATATGTCACTTAGTTTACTCAATGATAGAAAAGGACTCTCTTTAGAAAAAAAGGTTGGGAACCACTGGTATAACACAACAAGTTCTGTTATGAAATTGCTTGTTCTATCAATAATACCATACCATTTTATTAATGTACTGAAAAGCAGGTTAGATTGTATGTTTACCACCGACCATGCTGCTGATAATAACCCAATCCCATTGTCTTTCCTTTCTTGTAGGTAAGTTGAAATGGACGGGGAGAGACGTTGGGACCGGGGCCTTGTTATAGGTATTGTTGAGCTGCTACATCAGGACACAGCTGCACTTGCTCCTGATTGTTGTATTGATTTTCACACTCGGATGAGCACATCTTCAGCTGAGTAGTAAAACTGGTGTGTGTGTGTGTGTGTGTTGCACAGTTCCAGATGGCACCCAGAGCTAATCCATCACTGCTGTCGTCATATACACACAATTATTAACAGTGAGCACAGTTATGTATCTGCCTATAAATCCATGAATTATACTTAAATTCACCATTAAAACACAATCCAAGCACAGAACAGGATTTCTCAAAATGTTTCTGTGCCTTTGTTTCAGAATTAGTTTGAATTATCTTTTGCAAACTGCAGCTCAGATGACCCGCTAACATGGTGACATGTTTTCTCCTAATCTTCTTTCTTGGCTATCCGTCGCTCCAGCCTTCTCTGAACCAATTATCTGAGCTAACTAACCCTGAGCCCACGAGGCTCAGAGGTCACAGCTCTGCCAGGGCCGGACTCCTTGGGCCCTGGAAGGGTGTTTGCATCTTGTGCAGGTTGTAAGCCCTAGTACTGAGGATTGCTAGGAGGGTAGAAGCAGCTGGAGGTCCTGTAATCTCTGAGACCCTCAGCCGATTACTGATATAATACATACGACTCTGTTTGTGAAGATCTGGACGAGATTAGTAAGCAGGCAGACTTACCACGGGCACATGCCTTTCTGCTTCTACTGCAGGTTAAACCAGGAAGTGACAGAGCAGTACTATTAGATCAAAAAGTTCCTTGTGAGATTTTGTATTTCAGTTAAAAAAATGGTTCTTCTTTGGATCGCAAGTGCATTATATCATATCAGTAAAGCAGCTGGCTCTAGTTCTGGACAGCTTTTTATATATTTACACCTGATTTCTTAACTCAGTTGCTCCCAACATAAAGCAGTATTCTACCCAGTTAACCCCTCAGGTTCTTCTTGTTTGGCTGTTGATGCCATCACTTTCACATTCATGCAGCATGTTGGGCTTTATTGTTTCAGCAGCGCCTGTTGTAAATCATTGTTTTATTGCCATCGTTTGTCCATACAGTGACTCTCAATGGGCCGAAAGAGAAATGGTTTCTAGGAGCCATGTTTCTACAGGCCAAATGTTAATGTAGGAACACACTGAGACGCAAAGCCAGACAAAATGCACATATTCAATCAACTAGTCTAATCCCTATCTGCCAACCCCTCTGCTGCATACTAACTGATATGATAGACTCATAATTTCTCTGTTTTCATATACTTCAGCACATATTTACATATTCTTATCTAATAGAGGAAAACTCAGTAGTGGTGGGAGGGAGTGATGTTGAATTGTAATGTTGAGGTGAGGTAGTCCACACAATCAATACACATGCCATATTCAGCATGTGTATTGATCTTATTGATCTATTGACCTTTAAGGAAATCCATCTGAGTCTACAAACAGTGGGGGAAATATATGCCAGCCCTCGTTTCCACTAGTTTTGAGTAGAATCATAGTAACCGGATGCATCATCAACAGAGGGCGCTGCACAATGCACAACAACCTGTAGAATAAGACTCGCCCACCCTGGTTCCCAAGGGCAACCTGTTATTTTTTGGTTCCAGCTGCAACAAATATTTCAGGTTCTGAACCAATTTATTTTGAGTTGAAATGCTCAGAACAGTTAAAAACTAGGTGCTTGAAATGGAACGAATCTGGTTCCCTGTTGATAAAAGGGCCTAAGAGGGATCAAAGAAAAATCTGAGGGGTCACCAAATGAGTAACCAAAAGAGTTTCTCTTGCACAAATTTCCCTTTATGTTTTTGAAATATTTACTCTTGGTTAGGAATACTGTATACCTTCCAATGAAACAATCTGAGAAGGAAAACTCATTCCTCCTTCACTGCCCATACTCAGGCCACAGTCTGTAACAAGGGGTCACATGTCAGAAAGATGGGGAACCACTGCCTAAGTGAACTATTTGCATGGCAAAAAAATGCTTTAAAATGGTTGTTGGGATGATGGGTGTTAATTGGTATTTTATGATCTCCTAAGTGTAGGTGCAGCTGTCATTTTCTGACAAAGACCTTTAAGGCTGAAATCTTTCTTCATTAACTTGTTCCAATATTCAGTCTGTGGACTGCTTGTTGTAGTCCTTTGTATGGTGCACTTGCACTCAGCTGGGGTTAGATATTCTCACAATCTCACCACCTGTTTTTTCAGTTGTGATGTGGGCTCAGGCCATGAGGTGGTGCCATGGTATCAAAAAGCAAAATGGGTGAGGCCTTGGAAAAGATGAACATTGCAGTCGATGTCTTCATAGAGTGTTGATAGAAGACTTATAGATATTATAGATGAAAGGGCATTATTTGGTGCTGGATACCAACGTAGTGTGAATATTTATGTGTGATTGACGTGAATAGATGATAATGGCTGAGTACGATGCATGTTTTACTTATTGGCTGCCTGAACAGACAGATTGATTCTAATAATGCTAGTGAATACACTATCACTGCATTCCTCTCTAGTGCTTCCTGACCAAGAGCTGGGTGGTAATGCTGGTTAGGTATCCTTTGCTGCCCTTCAGTGGTGCTCATGGGCAGCATTGTAATTTCAGCACCATGGACAGGGATTGTGTGGCACTGCTGAAGTGAGCCCTCAGTCACAGCCATGCTTCTGCCTTATTATAGCATATATTATGTAGATGTGTTAGAGGTCATGGTACATTTGATTGCAGCTCACGCCGTAGCTTATACGCCCTTACTGTGTCATAAAATCTATACACAATATAGCTGATGTGCAAAGCACTGGCAATGGGTAGCATATGTTGATATTGCTGCAGTCAGGTCGTTTCACCATTTCCATAACTGAAAGCTACAAAACTGTAAACATGTGCTTGAGAAAAAAATTACTTATGTGTTTTTCAGTGTGTATTTATGTGTGTGTTTGCTCTGGAGCTGTGAAATCTCCCAGTCACTGAGGCAGACTGCACCATTATGGACTTCCTAATGGGGGAGGTTGAAGACACTGACTGGAGTCCAAGTTTTACCCCCTCTGACTCCAGGAAAAGTGGTACCTCCCTTGTTCTCTCTCCAAAGGACACTCGCTGATGCTTTCCGTGTCCTGTATCACCTCCCACATATCGTTTCCTCCTCCCTCACCCTGCTTTCTATAATCCCCACACACCCCAGCCCTACCTCCCCTTCTGGTACATGATGAGTGGGGAAGTCATGTATTTGAGTCCAAATCAGAGGCTTCCCAGGTTCCCAGAGCATCTGCTGCTACCTCTGCAGCCCAAGCAGTAAAGGGAGGGGGAGGAGCTCTCTGCTCCCTGCCTCTATGACTCTTTCTAGCTTCTCTGCCTTTCTATTGGTCCTCCAGCTTACCTCTTGGTGGCGTGCACAAGCCCACCCCTCCTCTCTCTCAATCCCTGTCTCAGATGCAGTTATCCAGGCAGCAGGGAGGGAGGCTTTACAGACACTCACACTCTCTGCATGGGTGAAGAGAGCTGTTGGGTTAGAGGACTAGAGGATACCAGCGCTACCTCTATCCTCTTCCCACTTGCGACGATTTGTCCTTTTAAAGAAAGTCACCTGCTCAGGTGGGGGGCTTGTTTCCTTGGATGACCGGCTTGCCATTAAGGCAAGCGTTGTGAGAGGACTTCTGAAAGTGATCTAAAAGCTTTAGTTTTCTTCAAGTGGGAACAGAGAGAGGGCAGCCATGGCTCATGCCGCGGCTCACATTAAGAAGGCCAGGTCCGAGATGGATCAACCTCCGGACCTAAAGGCTCTGGAGAAAGCCAGAGAGAGGAGAAGGCGTTCCCGGGAACGGGCTGAACGCAAGCGCAAGGTACCGGGCAGACTCACTGGAATCACCCACCTATTCATCCCTTCCCACTTTATGTGACCAATCAGTGTTTCACTGGTTACTTCATCCCACCTCCAGTCATCCCTCCACCTCATCACCATCAGAGTGTCACTTCACCTTTACCGAATGAAGAAGACTTTATCAGAGTCCATTACCACGGACTGCAGGAGAGTTTGCAGAGCAGAAATCATCATCAAGGGCTACCCATGTCCTCATCTTTACTATTTACACCCCCAAATTTATTATCATCTAGTGGTATTCAGTGGCTCCATCGAGGGAAAAAGAGTATAAAGGGACTCATTTATGGAAACACTCTTGTTTAGATGGAATGAAAACCCTTTTACGGCACAAGACCGAAGATCTGAAGCACCAACTGTGCTCTGTGATCAGTGTCATCAGTCCATTGTCACCCACCAAACCATAAGAAACACAAATCACAGTAAGCTGTGATTCCAACAGAACATGGCCACAATGATTGCACTCTGCTTGATCCCTGCTGCCACTAGTGCTTGTCCTCATCTCATCTTGTACACTGCTGAAGGATCTTTCCTCAGTCCATCCTTCATTCCACTCCTCATTCTGTCATCATGTATCTGCCACAATATTATAAATGATCTGTACAAGTCATCAATCACTCAATCAGTGTTGCTGTCTCCCCACTTCAACCTTCCCTGGGTGGGCTCCATTATAACACACTCTCTATACAGTAGAACTTCTACAAATACCGCCGCTCGTCTACCTGTACAGTAGATGTACCCACGCAGATCAGTCTCTGGTGCATTGTATGTTCACTCTATTTGCTCATGGATTCACACATCCTCTCATGCAAACACACAATCTTAATGCTGTGGTTTTATTGGTAGGGTGTACTGCAGAGATATGCTGTATCTTTATGGTACATGATTTTATAGTTATGTGTTTACTCTAACAAGCAATTTCAGGGAGTAATATGTGCACATGACTCTCTGCAGGATTACTGAAGTTCATGTTTTTTTGCCAGCACAGCACATAACATTGCACTGTTAAAAACGATTATTTTCTGACACATATTGCAATATGATTCTCTATTAGTAGAAAGGATCTCTTTTGCATCACAGTTTTAATTTTCACTGGGGTCTGTACCAAACAAACATGTTTTCTTGCATCTGGAGAACAAGATTTGTAGGCCAGTGCCTTTCTGCAGCACTACAGTGCTTCATTATAATGCTGTTTGTCACACAGTTTACCGTTAACAAGAAATCACAGCTTCTGAGATTTGGATATTGCACATGACCACATTTCATGGCTGGTAATTAACCATTAGGAGACGTTTGCTTGGATCACTGAATGCTACTGTTGTATGAAATAGAAGATAGCATTAGGAACTCTGACTGGGGCAGGAATCTGCATGGAGTTGCTTTATGAAATATAAGTAAGGGATTAAACCCGACAAGCTTTATACGTTCTATGATTGTAATGGATGGTGGCAACCACTTGATGCAAAGCTGAACTATCTACAGATTAAACGTACGGTATGTTATTTCTGCCACTAGCATTACAAAACATGTAGTTTGATAATCTGGGGCAGTAAAATGTGTAATGGGCAGCCCATTCGAGTTCCAACTTTTTAAATGATTTTTAAATGAATGTCAGCTTGACTTGCTAGCACTGTGTGAAGGGGAAATAGAGGAGGTCATAATGAAGTATATTTGGGAACATCATCCCATCTTAATTCTGTAATGTTAAGTGCCTCACTGAAAAAGCTGACCTTCAATTGCCATGGCATCAAAATAAAGCTGATACCCAGTCGTGACCTTTGTAGCTGTTTGGATGAAGAGCTGTTATGTTGCTTTAGTGTTTTTTCAGTCTCAGCCCCCCCCACCCCCACCTTCACTGCTATTAATATTGACTGAACTGCAAGGCAGATTATCACATTGGATTATGGGTGTGTACCCTCTGACTCTGTCGTTGACACACGCGTACACACAAACACCTAAAAGTGATTAATAGATTCAATTTGTTGGATGGTTCAGCAAGTGCCTGAAGGCAGACATTTACATCACAGCGACACGCACACTGCTGTCAAATCACAGTTTTATCAGAAGCGGTCAAGTCCTGCTGGGAGACAATTAACCCCATGTAAATGGTGCTTAGTGGCTGTTAGAGGGCTCGGCCTGGACACTGCATGGCTGCAGCATGTTGTTATGAAATGATGGAACACAAAGTGGACGTAATATTGGATTTCCTCTCAGATACGTCACCTTGGATGCATACTTGAGCTAGCATCACCAATTACATAACAAAGAAGGCTAGACATGGTTTGTCAGTTTGAATGCAGCAAACATCCATTACATGCTGAGGGATGATTTGCTGACCCGAGCCCAGTCTTAAACAGGATTTTCAGTTTACTGTCCTGTGACGTAGGTTGGTATTAGGATCATATTAGAGACAGTACTAAGTGTGAAATGAATCATTTCCAGAGTTTCACAAATATATTTGATTGATTTTGGATTGGTTAATATTGGTTTTAGTTCACTATTGATGCTGTTTATTGTTAAAACGAACTCCATGTTTACCTGTTATCTTTATGAATTCAGTGTTATTTACAGTAACACAGCACTTCTCTTAATACACACAGCCACCAACAGTAAATCTGCTGGTTTGAATTTCTTATTTTAACAGAAATACTGTTTTAAATCAATAAATCTGAACACTTCCTGAACACATATTGCACATTAAAAGCCTTTTACCAGCTCAAAGGGCATAATCCTTCCTGTTCCTGGTACTCATTTATTTTGAAGTGTTAATTTTCATTCATGCATTTTATATGGCAAAGAAGAAGCAAAATCGAAGCGACTAGAACAGTATTTCTGTTAAAAAGAAAAAAGAGCAGCAGAGAATGCAATGTTGCATTTGTATGCCATGTCGATCCTGCATTTAATTCATTCTTCCTCAACCCAACTTTAACTTAATTTGGCGTCTTCACATAAACCAAGGCAAACCTTGTGCAGACAGCAGTGGGAGCTTCTGGGGAACATTGGTTTGTTCAGTAACTGCAACCTTTGACCTATGACTGTATGTCTATAAATGGCATTGGACCCACCCCCTCCAGGATACACCATAACCTCTGAAAGTCAAAAAGATGTAGGTCAACATTTTCAGGGTTCAGGGGAAGGCCGTCTGCACTAAAACAGGTGGTGCTCTGGATTTACAAATAGAATAGTGTAATCTATTCCACAAAATCCTGCCAGAAACCTACTGTCACAGAAAGAGGAAACTCAATTTAATGCCTCACAGAAATATAGCTAACTCAATAAATACGACAGGTAAATTTATACAGTGGGCCACTTACTCATTCTATAGAGGAGTGACGGCAGAGCCTAACAGGAACATTAGTAACATGTTCTCTAGTGCAGAGTCGGCATTTGCATTTTACCACTTTACCCATCTCTACACTACTACTTAGTGAGGCACATGAATCAGTGTAGTGGTAATGGTGCCATGAAACACTAGTGATTTAATAGGCACCTACAGTCAGTTATGTTCTTGAAATTACAGTTATGTTGTGTGCATGAATCCAACTTTCTCTCAATGTAAAATGGTGTCCCAGGGGAGAAGATTAATTTGGTGCACGCTGCCAGCCTCAGTCACAATATATCTTGATGAAACTTCCTTGTTGTTTTATGTGCTGTACTGGCACTCAACAAGATGTAGCAGATGTTGTAGAGTTTTCATTAGTCTCCAGGCACATTAAAGAGTAATTCAGCACTGAGCTGCAGGATTCAGAGAAGTGTGGCTGCGAAACTTTCTGAGGGTTGAAATGTTT